GGGGGTGGAGGCGGCGGTGGCGGCAGTGGGGCGGCGGTGGCGGCAGTGGGGGTGGAGGATGTATACCTTCAGCAGCAGCAGCAATTCATACTGAGTTGGACAGATTCAATCTTTCAGATTAATTCATTTAAGCAACATCAATAATCAATCATCTCCTGCATATTGGATTGCACATCCGGATTATTAATTTTTAAGCAATTGAATAGGATATTCAATAAGGAATCGGCTTTCTCCATGCTTGAAGATAACAATGGAACTCGATAACTTCGAACGCTTGGGGTTTACGGTTTAGGATTTGCAGTTTACAGCTTACGGTTTAGGGTTTAGGGTTTAGGGTTTACGGTTTGTTTAACAAGTTTACGAATTTACGGTTTAGGGTTTTGGGTCCACGGTTTCCATTTAGGGTTAAGGATTTAGGGTTTAGAGTTTAGGGTTTACGATTTACGGTATAAGGTTTAGGGTTTAGGGTTTAGGGTTTAGAGTTTAGGGTTTGGGGTTTACAGTTTACGGGTTAGGGTTTGGGGTTCAGGGTTTGTGATTTACAGTTTACGGTTTAGGGTTTAGGATTCAATGGGGTTGTACGCCATACAGTGTCAAGCAAGGGGTAGGAGAAGAGAAATGTGCATTCGATGATCACAAAGTCTCTCGGAGAAGACCATACATAGGTACTTATGAGCTTCAAAAATAAAGAATTAAATAAAAAGAAAGCTGATAGCATTGGATACCCCTGCCTGCTGATTCGCAGTCACTGCAGATATGGCAGAAAGGGAAAGATATCCAATGATTCAGAGAATTCAATAAAAAATTAAAAGCGGAGTAGGGAGGCCAGTGACTTCCATCTCTCCCCAACTCCCGCCCTCAATACACCCCCCCCCCCCCCCTCCCTCCTCTCTCCTTTGCCCCCCTTCACACCTCACATACCCAACCGCTCGTTGACTGACCTGCTCGTTATAGACTTCAAGGAACGATGCTTGCATTGTTGTGCTTCTGCTAGCTTGAGGCTGAGTAAACGATCCTCGACTGCCTGAGGTTGTTCCACCTCTCCTGCATGCGCTCCTTTGTTCAATCCTTGTAAAAAGGTATCGTATGGACCTTGGCATTACACCATCATCGGGATCGCTATGCGATGAGCACTTGTGATTATCAGGAAGTGTCTGTGACCATGTCGTAATGCCCAGAAAATTCAAAACTGACGATATATGACAACAAAAAGCTTATGACAACTCAACGTACAACAGGCAATAAATGAAATTCAAAATTTTCAAGCTGTTCAACCTTGAAAGTCAAACAAACTGTTTGCAAGCTTCAGAGTCAACCAGACTACCAGCTTCATTACAAAAAGAAAAGTCAAGCAAGCTGTTTGCAGGCTTCTGAGTCAGCCAGGCTACCAACTTCACTACCGAAATAGGAACGAAAGTCAAACAAGCTGTTTGCAGGCTTCAGAGTCAACCAGGCTACCAACTTCACCACAAAAAGGAAAAATGTTTAAACAAACCGTTTGCAAGTTGAGAGACAACCAGACTACCAACTTCGCTACCACAGGTGCTTAATTTGCTTGCTTAGATTAGTCATACAAGTGGACCTGCCGCAGCCACGCTGCGGCGAAGGACGATGACAAAAACATTTCACAAAACATGGAAATATACACTGCCACATTTTCTGTCATTGGCAGCGTATATTTTCATGTTGTGGCAGTGGATAATTCCATGTTCTCCGGGAAGATTCAATCCTATTTTGTTCATGTGGTGAAGCGTGGCAATGTCAGTGTGTGTGTGTGTAGGATGAGCAAAATCGGAATGAATCTTCAGCCAGAACATGGAAATATAGACTGCAACACTTTTTCTTTTTTTTTGTGTGTGTGTGTTGTCATATTCTCTATACACTAAAAAAAATGCATGACTGTGCCCGACCCTGTGTGTGCATGTGCGT